TTCGACAAAATAAAAAGTTGCTGACTTCTTTAGCGTTGAAATACGCTGTCAGCAGGTTGAATTATAGCGAAACACACTCGATAGAGAAAAGTAACCGTTTCTATTCATCTAAGAGGTAGAGAGAAGGATAAACTCTCTAGAAGGCAAGGCAGATAATTATATGGGGATTTCAATCCGGGAACTAAACGCCCCCCTTCTTAAAAGGTAAGTGCCCTGATTAAATTGTGTTAAAATTTCGGAATGTGAGACACACTCTTGTCCTGAATTTGGATAAAGTAAAGTAAAAATGACTGGCATTGGTTAGGACTAATGGATCAGTGTAGAAGTCTGAATGCATTCTGATTGTGTTTTCCTACCTGCAAGCACCATATATATATATATATGCATATAATGGTAGGGGGCGCTCACCAATCGGTCTTACGGTACTCACTCTTACTGTTGTGCCTTATATATATATTTATTCACTCAGGAATGGGCGCACACCAATCCATTGGCTTCCCGAAGCAAACAAGCATCGTATGGGCGATAGGGGTCACGAACAGGCAACCACCTACCAGGCCGAAGTCGGCCAAGCTATGATAGCAGAGCGGATACGACAGAGTCTGGGGGGTAGATTGATACAGCACTGCTTCGGGCTTGTTTGCCTTCATTCAGCCAACCATAACCCTGACCACCAGCTGGGACCGGAAACACAAACATGCGCACAGACGCACCTGGCGCAGCTGGTTCACCACTGGGGTCTACCAGATGGGTCATATGCACTTCATCGAACCGAAGCTCATCAGTTCCTCGCCACCTGCCATTCTCTGTCGCTTCAGATCGGGTATATATATATATATATATGTTAATAGAATTTCCTACCGAATGAGCAAAATAATGAATATTTTTATGTATGTTTTCTATGAAATACAACCGCCTTTTCAAGGACATTTAAAATCAAGGAGAAAAATACATGCCACTTAAGTAGTTATTTTTTCTAGAGTGTGGTTTTTGTATGCAGTGGAAAAGAAGTTTGTTCGAAAGTCGGCGTCCTGAGACAACTGAATTATTATAGAGTTATGCTGCATGGCGATCAGTTTTACAACCCTATTTAATTAATCTTTTCGAATAGAAAACGCATTTCGGAATTTTAGTTGACATTCATATACATATTAAGTCCAGGAACTGAATGGATGGAATTCATCTCCCTCCAGCGGAAAAATGGGCGTAGATACGCGTAGGCGCCATGGTGGCATCTCCTCAACGCAAAACTTGGGATGTATAGGGCTTGTTTCCTGTCAACGCATTTGAAAAAGACAGACACGTGAAATAAGCATGAAATTCAACCAAGAGCACTTACTCTTATTAAGCCCAACTGTCTTCGGAGAACGATGAATGTAAAACAGCAGGAGAAGATACCCGACAGCGAGATCCTAGAAAGAACCGGCGTCGGGTTGAGGCGGGTGAAACTGCGGTGGAGAGGCCTTGTCGTGAAGACAAATAACTATCCTCCGTCCAAGTGGTCATTCTATGACAGCGTCCCCTATAGGTGCTCGCAGATAAGGTGGACATAAGCGTCGTTACAAGGGCGTCTTGAATGCGTCAACCAAACACCTGAAAATCGGCTGTGAGATTTGGTAGGGCCTCGTTCAAGATGGGCTGCTTGGCCCACCACCGTGAAGACTGGAGCAGCCACCTTGGAAGCCAGTCGAGTCGTCGCTGTCAGGAAATCCATAGAAGCTCATAAGATTCAAGTGTATCAGACTAACAACACGAACACCCAACATCTACCATCATGTCCTCACTATCAACGGATATTCCACATACGGATCGGTTCCGCTAGGCGCCCCCAGACCTAATGTGATTCCATCACGGCAAAGCTACACCCCACCTATCAAAACGCCACTGCCAGTAGAGTCACGCCTTAAGCTCTGATGTCTATTACCAACCCACTACAAGAAATGTGGATCCAATCTCAGCCACTGCCGGGAAACCTCAACGCATAACTGCCGCTCTCGTTTCATGTGTTTTACTCGCACCAAGGTATTAGGTCATCACATGGCCTATTAAACCATACGCGTCCAAACAAAAGCCTTGGGTGGGAGATTGTAATCCAAAGCCAATGACACCCCAGAAAGTCCACAGGAAACTCTCGGGGACCCACTGATAAACAGGACCCCTCGAAGCTATGTGTCCTGCAGCGGCAGAACATCGGCAAAACACGTGTCTAGGCTTTTAACTAATACTCGCACAGTCAGGCATGCCATATCTTGCAACCTCTACATACACTACTGCCTACCTGTCGGCAGTTTATCAACAATATGCAGTCAATTCACTGTGGTCGATGGACACATCAAATTCCAGTCTAAGCCCATAAGTCTTGGATAGACTAGTTTACTCCAAGCTAACGATCAATGTCCGCCGAGGAAATTAAACACCCGTAATACCACACACTTCGGTAATAGCATACTGCCTATATCATGCGCCGCTGTGCAGCTGCTGGTTGAGATCGAGAGAGAGCCCGTAAGGCACAACGGAACGAGTGAGTTCCGTAAGAACGATCGGAGAGCGCCCCCTACCCATGTATATTCCCTATTGAAACCGACGGGACAACGGGCTCTTGGCCCAGTGGTTAGAGGCGTGGACTTCTAACTAACAGGTCGCGAGTTCGAGCCTCGGGTGTCCCACACTTTGTCGGTAATATCGTTCTGCCTATATCATGCGCCGCTGTGCGGCTGCTGGTCGGGCTCCAGAAAGAGTCCATAGGGCTCATTACCAAGACCTGATGGTCAGAAGTTCAACGTCCCTAACCACTGAGCCACGGGCTCGTTGTCCTGTCGGTTGTGACCGGGAATGTACAATGGTAGAGGGGCGCTCCTTGACCAATGACTCGGTCGTCAGAGGCGTTGGACTTCTAACCAACAGGTAGCGGAGTCGAGCCCCAGGTTTTCCACACTTCGGGGTTGGGTATGGCTGGCTGACGACGACCAATAAGCCAGAAACGGCCATTTAAATCTCCCTTGTCCTTTTTGGTAGTAACATATGGACCACACACTTCCCCCTACCTGCCCACACAAGCACACCTCCCTAGGCTACCTGTGAACCTACTTAAAAAACGTCTGCACACACGACAGCTTTCCGAGACCCACTGTGCGTCATTTCTGCAACAAACTTGTCATTTACTTTGCGGAGGAGGATGGGTGAGGAGTGAAACATAACGTGTTAGAACTTGTTCATCTCAAGTGCGTGGGAGGCATGTTCTTCGTCTGGTCAGGTGTATGGCGAGAGCGTAGACGGACTGACTAGCTTTGTCTCATTACAAGTTGGCTGACAGGCTCAGCCAGTCAACTAGAGCACAAAGAGTGAGAACCACATTGAGAAATCCATCATCTCAACAAATCACTGCGTTCCTTAATGTTGTAGCAGCCGAATACGTCGAGGTTGGAGCACACACACACGCACGAAAATTCAACCATCGCTTTCGACGATGTCCACCGTATTCCCCACAGACTGCATTGTGGGAGCAGGGACGGTGACTTACGCAGGGGTTTATAGTGCCAGTAGACTTGCGCTGCATCTACCTACACTGTCTCCCCCTCCCTCGCCCGAGCCCGGTGTCAAGACAGAGTCAAGAACATCGGAGACGAGGGAGGCCGCAGGGGGATGGCTTGGACGGATCCTCGCCTTGGCGCTCCACTCTACACTCCCTGGTCCACACATAAATGACCAGGATTTTTACCGCCAAGACAATGGGGTGGTGGCAGTGGTCCCAGTTGTGCGACGACTTCCGACAACAGGGTCTGCCAGCGCACCCCGCAGATGTTGGCATTTGTTAGTGTGCAGAGATAACGCCTGCCAGCGTACTATGTGGCCCCCGTGTTGGTCCAGCGCATCTACCACGTGACCCGTGCAGGGGACACACACACGATAGTTCGACCGTCGCATCCGACGATGCCCACCGTGTGCCCCACAGCAGAGGTGGGAGCAGGGACGGTGACTTGCGCAGGGGTTTATAGTGCCAGTAGACTTGCACTGCATCTACCACACTCTCTCCTCACGCATACACACACGGAGGAACAGATCATCTAGGTTAGCTTTCCGATTATGTAACAGTGGATAGAGTTGTAAACACCGCATCAGACAAGCAAAAGTGATGTAATAAGACAAGGAGTTTGTGGTGTAGAAAGTCCATGTTACGATAACAAATGAGAGAATAGAAAAAGTGGAAAATAAGGAATACATGAAAATAACGGGGTACTGTACAACTTATCCATTTGGAATGGTAGATGGTCATGTCATATCAGTTAGACGCCAGTGGGGATTGCAGCGCTGTCGACAACTGCGGGTGAGGGCCGGGGAATGTGCTGACGATAAGAGATGCGAGTGACGAACGGACGGCGAGAGCGTGGAAAGCGGTATCAACGGTAGGAGGGGATGGAACACCGGCCATTTTCACTGGTAGACGACCAGACCGGACCCATTCAGGATCCGCGTCAAAGTGACCTCGGCTCGTTCAAACAACCCTTTGGAACTTGTGGTATGTTACAATATAACACATCTGATATGTTTAATCTCACCGCGACGTATTAGAATTCGTGGACAACCGACGGGTAACTGGGTTCCTCTCGGGACTGAGATCAAGGCTCAACGTCTCCTTCTGATGTGGCCTCTAGGACACTCTCGCGCATGCAGGGTCTGAGCCCTCCACGCCTCTGTGAGAAGACCTGGTGTTTTTTTTTCAGGGGCCAAATCGTGGGTGTTGCTAATTAGCTTTCTCATTCACTGCGAATGAATCGTCTTAATATTGCTTTGTCAGCGGAGCCATGTGGGCAAGGGAGAAGAGAGTGCGATAGATGCCCTGCAAGTCATCGATGCTGCACCCACCCTGTGCGACGCGCGGAGGACGTTGTCGCTTTCTCCAGTCGAGCTGTATTCCATGTATGTGAGACTGCGTTTCTCTGAATGAATCCAGCAATGTGTTTATTTTCCGAGCTTGGTTTTACGAGTGCTGATCACGAGTGATGGTGAACGCCGCAGGTGTTTTTCGTATATGTTATGCCTCTTCGACTTCGACCGCCCACTACTACTACTACTACTACTACTACTACTACCACTACTACTACCACTACTACTACTACTACTACTACTACTACTACTACTACTACCACTACTACTACTACTACTACTACTACTACTACTACTACTACTACTACTACTACTACTGACAGTTCGATCATCACATTCGACGAGGTCCACCGTGTGCCCCACAGTAAGGTGAAGCACGCACGGTGGCTGGCGCGTAACTCAGTTTATAGTGAGTGCAGACTTGCGAAGAATCTATCGCAGTCTATCCTCCTCTCCCATCTGGGCCCGGTGTCAAGGCATAGTCAAGAGTACCGAAGGTGGGGGAGGGCGCAGGTGTATATCACGGTCGAGCCCGCACCTTGGCGCTCTATTTCACGCCCCTGGTCCACACAACAGTCGACCACGATTTTAACCAACAGCATCACCACGACGGATTAGAAGGAGGAGGGGGAGGATAATTGGGTGGCCATGCTCACGACCCGTATACCCAGCTGGAGCTCAAGCTCATCTAGCGACAGAGAACTGCAAGCTCACACCAGGCTGTGAGGAGCACGGTTAGCTGATCCTAGCATAGCAGACGCTTACAGACCTTTAGGCCCAGATGGGTGACACGCGACCCTGCATTTGTCTAGGCCGTCACCCCTCAAGGGCTGGTAACCAGACAGTCGTCGACTGAGATGCACTCCTCATGTGCATGACAGTGTCACAGAACAGCTAAGGCGGAGCCGTGACAGCCTGGCTCTCAGCCCACCAGACCGCCACTCCACACAAGCACACACACAGCTGGGTAGATTGCGTGGGCTGAGTTGGGGCGTCAGTCGACAACCCCTGCATGCCGCGACGCTTGGCGCATAGTGGTAACCTCAAACTCGGATCACACATGCAGCCGCAAGGAGAAGGAGCCGAGAAGCACAATTCCCACTTGCTTAGGAAGTGGTATTTGGATGCCTGTGATGGGTGATGGTGTTGGGAGGTGCAGGTGCTGAAGGGGGAAAGTATAATGGTGTGGTGCAGTCGGCGGTTGTCCAGCGCGGGTTTTTCCGAATGCGCATATGGCCTAACAGGCCTATGTGATGAGTGAATGTGTGGGTGCAGTGAGGATAGTTGAGGCGAATGCGGGAAGCATATGTTGGCGCTCCAGGCCCAGGCTCGCCACTCTCCGTGTGATGGATTCGCAAGTGACCGACGAGGCCGATGTGTGAGGTGATTGTGCGATCGCAGTGAGGACAGGCATCACCCGAGTCCACAACGCTTGAGGTGGGGATGTTGGTGATGCTTTAAGATGATGAGACGTCTGACTTCGTCCCACTGGTAGGGGAGGGGCGTGAAGACGTGGTGGTGATGATGCTGGCCGCTGTGGTCGATGGTGGGTTGTGGCGGGGCGGATGGTGGCGATAGGAATGGGGTTTGCGGCAGAGGAGAGAGTGGGTGGAGAGGTAGACGTCGTCGGGTTGATGGCGCATTCGTTCCGAAGGTGTCCAACGAGACCGACTCGTGCGCGGAATGCGAGTTGACAGCGCGGGCGTGTTGGAAGCGGCTGATGAGGAGGCAAGGCACTTGCGATTTGTGAGCCTCCCGTTTAGATTCGGCAGCAGCGATCCGATTTGCTTCGTAGATTGCAGCTCCGGTCTTCACTTCTCTTCTCCAGGCGAGGTCCTGCCGGGTCTCTGAACTAATATGAAGTTGCTTAGGAGAGTTCTTCAATGTGTCCTTATAGCCTCGTTTCCTTGTCCTCCCGGTCGGCTAGCACGAGAAGCGACATTATTTTAGAAGAGTTGTTTCGGTAGGCGTATGTCTTCCATCCCCACTAGATGGCCGCAATTCCTCTTGATCCGCGTCCTCAAGACTAGGGTTTCTGATCATGTCCGAACAGCGTCGAGAAAACGGTCTTCGATCTTCTATGATGGGGATAGAGTGGGACACCAAGGGATGGGTCTCCGACCTCTGAGTCCAACCGATTACTTTAGGGGAAATAACAAGAATCACCCTAAAATGATGTCAAAGCAAAATCTATTCTTCCGTGTCCAACCGCCAACGCAAACTCAAGGCTAATATTACATTGGTGGTGCATCCCTGCAGTCGTTGTTACAATGACTTCAAGGAAAATGCGGGCATAGACGGCAAAACAAAGGCGTTGGACTAGGAAATATGATCCTGGTTTAAGATGAGGTTCTGTTTCACTCATGGTCGAAGGACTTTGTTTACTATTTACTTCTGTCCCACCACATTCCGCGGAGGGTACCGTCTAGGATGGCCGAACTAAATCCTGCAATTCTGCTTGATTCACGCCCACAGGACTAGGGTCTCTGATCATGTCCGAACAACATCGACAACATGGTTCGATTTCCTACGCTGGCGGGAGAGCGGGACACTAAATCGCGTGGAACAGGAATCTAGTCCGAAGGATGCGTCTGCAACCTCTGAAGCCAACCGAACAAATTAGGCCAAGGGGAAATAACAAGAATCACCGTAAAACGATGTCAGCGCAAAACCTAGTCTCCCGTGTCCCAACAGTCAAAGCCCACTCAAGGTCGATATCACATTGGTGGTGCATACCTGCGGTCGCTGTAACAAGGCCTTCAATGACAATGGGGACATTAACGGCAAAACAAAACCGTTGGCGTTACGCCGAGCAGTACTCCGAGACCGGATCAGTCCTTCCTCACCTACCTACACTGTGAACTTATGTTCCGGACCCGGTTTATTTATCAGTCGAGCAGATCAACACACCCGACACTGCGTTTGGGACCGATCTCGCCGCCACAGCTTCCAACACCCTCAACTTCCCTCACCGTGAACGTAAAGTCAGGGTAATGAAAGGAGTCGCCAAGGCCTAGGGAGTCACAGAGGACAGGGAGAACATCGGCTGCGGTGTGAATCGTTAACTTATTTTGCGTCCTCCTGTTTGACTAGATCAACCGCTATACTCTGCAACTTCTATCTTACCGACCTATCACCCATAATTTCTCTAGCGTACTCTTGAAGATGGGATAGATGTAGAAAACACCAGTGTGGCCGTCGCTGCAGTTACCGCTGTTTTCAGCTCTGACGTTGACCACTTGGGGTCGCACATCACTTTTCGCTATTCCTAACGCCTTCCCCATTAATACATGCCTATCAGCGTTTGACGAGAAAAGGATTAGTGATATTGATATTGGCAACAGTTGTAGTAAGGGCAATAGTAGTAGTAGTAGTAGTAGTAGTAGTAGTAGTAGTAGTAGTAGTAGTAGTGGTAGTAGTAGTATTAGTAGTGGTGGTGATAGTTGCATTGGTAACAGTATTGACAGGGGTGGTAGTGGTAGTAATAGTAATAGTAGTAGTAGTAGTAGTAGTAGTAGTAGTAGTAGTAGTAGTAGTAGTAGTAGTAGTAGTAGTAGTAATAGTAGTTGTAATAGTAGTGTGTCCGTATTAGTAGTAGTATCGGCAGCAACAGTGGCAGTGGCAGCGACAGCATTACTGGTAGCAGCAGCAGCAGTAGGAGTAATGGCGTTGGTGGAGGCGGCGACGGTGACCACTGGAGCTACAAAAACGACAAAATGCTCAAACTCCGAGGGTCCTCGCGACCCACTGCGGAATCCCTCTTAGTCATCTCATTTGTTTGGTCTTCAGATTGCTTTGATGCGGGCCGACAGTTATCTTGCGTGTAGGTTTAAGGGATTTTAGCCCTGCTGTCCTTATATCGACCACCCGCGTAGAAAAG